CCGATTCAACGAGATTTGATACAATGTTTTCTAAATGTGTGAATCCAAAAAGCTTCATGGATCCCCAAATAATCATGCGGGATATATAGTTGTAATGACAAAATATGTTGCAATCTCTAATTTATGCATTTATGTTCTACGGACTCAAAAAAGTCTTATATGATGTCCAGCAAACAGCTTAAGTCTACTTACAGTCCGCAAAAGGATATAATGAAATCAGATTCCGAAGCATTGTTAAGTGATTAAATTCCCCCCTATTATTCCAAAGAATCGCAGTCCCAAAAGTTTCGAAGTGTTAAGGAAAGTCTAGCGAAAGTCGTAACGTACCTCGGCTTCAAGAAGACGGAGTGTCCACCAGAAGGCAAAGCGCCCAACGAGGGATCCTTAACCTCCAGCTTTGGCCTCCTCCCATCGAAGTGTTACAGTCCACTTAGCTCGTTCCCCCGGATGGAACAGTTGAACTGGACCAGAAGTTTAGCCCTGCCATCTCCAACTTGGTTTTGTTGTTTAACTGCACCTTTATCGTCGAACAGATATTTTTGTAGAAACATTAGAAAATATCCAGCAATAAGAAAAGGAAACCGTTCAATTTTTTGAAATTCTGTCAACTAAGGCTTATTGTGAGGTTGCGCTGCTAGCCTTCGATAATCATGCGAAAAATTCTAAATGGAAATGTTTCGTTTCGTTTTTGACAACGGTACCCGCAACTGTAGCAAATGTGTTTAAGAGAACGCCACTATAAACTGCCCTGTGGAAGGAGCGGTGGTGTTAAAATGTGCCAACTGTGGTGGTGCTCATCAAGGTCCCGACAGACAGTGCTCCAAACCCGAGGACTTTAAACGCGTCTTCATAAACATGACCGGTGCTCTTCGTAAGTGCGGCAATAAGCCCGAGCAGATCCAAGTGTTCGGTAAGTTCATCATCAGCGTCTTAACCGTTGGCGCCGTCACCTGGAATGTTTGCTCTGTAAGACCAAAAAGGCTTGAGCTTGGCGATTTCCTCCGTAAGCCCAGCATCGACGTAGAACTTCTTACCGAGACCCACCTTAAATCCGGTGACAGCTCTTGGCTGCCTCTCCACAACATTATCCGGCTTGATCGCACCAGCTCCAAGGTAGGTGGTGTTTCGGTCATCATCAAGAAAGGAATCAAGTTCTACACCCTCCTCATATCCGCACTTCTATCATCGAGGCTCTTAGAGTGGAGGTGGAATCGCCAACTGGAAATGGATGGTTCATCGCTGTTTTCTGCCTTCGGCAGTGTGCCACCTTCAACGGATTAGCAAGCAAATTCAAGATTGACCTAACTGCCATCACTCGTACTACCTCCTGATTTATCGTTGAGGGCGACCTGAATGCCCGCCATGAAACTTGGTGAAACTAACCGGATCGGATGTCTACTACTCGATCACGCAAAACATGGACTGTACACTGTGCAGTTTCCGGACGGTCCATCTCTACGGCGGGAAATCACTCCCTGGACTTTTTCCTGTCGATCATCGGACTATCCAAGCCAGAGGTGCACAACGATCTCAGTTCCGTCCACCAACTGGTGGTGGCTGAAGTCGGTATCAACGTGGCTCCTGCTCCAAGGCTGCGTAAAGACTACCATCACGTCAACTGGGTGCATTTTGGACGTGTGGTTGACAGAGGCATCGACGAAGATTCACTGCTTGACACCGTGGATGACATCGACCGGGCATTGGAAGGACTCAAACAGGGGTAAGTTTAATGCCCTTGATTACCACACCCAATTACTGATTCGTTTGAGAAATGTTCCTTGACGCCAGTTCAAGAGGTCTTGAGATCTGGACAGAAAACGTGAAATGGCCGATCTGAACAGGCAGATTTCTTCCAGAATAGACTCACTCCGAAAAATGATAACTGTTATTGTTCATATGTACGACGACTTACCCTATAGTGGAGCACGTTATCGGCTGAGATGCTGGCAGTCCATCTCATCTCACATCTCACTACCATAGTAATCGTGATCAAAATCGGCTTCACCAATACCAGTGCATCATCGATCACCGATGACCGATAATCGTTCGATGGAATTTGCCCCCGCAACCGACGTTCGGGGAGTCAGTCGATCTCTACCGCTCATCAGCTCCGGTGTCGTTTTGAACAATATATGCCTTGTATTAAACGTCGATAAATGTCAATAGTTTAAGTGCAAATATAGAAATTAAGCTCAATAAATTAGTGGAATTTAAGTTAACCCATAATAAAGTGCTCGTGTAGTGTTCATTCAATCAATTGGAGTGCTTGTTATTCAAAGAATTGAAGGGGAAAGAACTGGCAACCCATCGTCCAATCAACTCGGCTCCTTCCAACTGCAAGGCACAGGTAACCTTCGACCGACCTACACATTCACCCCATCATTTTGGTCCTTCGAACCGGATCGTTGAAGGTACCATCCCAAGGGACGGACGACACGGAGAGGTCACGAAAGGTCATCCCTCCATACTGTGTGGTGACAATTACTATTGTCGCGAGGTCACAATTGCCATTGTCGAGAGGACACGCGACACAGAAGACATCGTGGTATTGTCTGAATTGGACAATAAAACCCAAGGCGATAAAGGAAACAGCCGCCATCTCAAATTCAATTCTTCGATTAGATTTCATGGCGCAATGCTGTAGTTCTCGGTGTAATTAAATTACAAGGCCCGAATTTATCGGGAATATGTGAGTATCATTCCATTTTCCCTAATCTGTGCGAACGGTGTGACCCTTTGGTGCTCTCCTTTTACTTTTCCGGTGAGAAAGCGCAATTCTTGTAAGGAGATCGACAGGACAGTTTCGAGATTATTCAAGGCCCGATTCAGTCGGGAGCAGGTCATTTCCTCTTCGGTGGGTAGCTGGACTTATTTGAGCCTAGAGACAGCTCTAGCCATCCCAATCATCCAACCCTCGGACCGCAGGTACCGGTCAGGCTGCACCATTCTTCCATTCCCAACGGAAGTGATTGGATCGACCAGGAGAGTCGGCCATTTGTTTGCACGCGATTCGGAGGAGTCGCTTGGTGGTTATTCGACCTTTTACATCCCATTGCTTGGAGGAGACGCACGGTAGTTTTCCTGTAGTCGCAGTTCTTACCAATAAATTCAAGGCAAGAATTTATTGGGAGCAGCCATCGAACGTCATCATTACTACAGCCAAGATGTCAAGGCTGCGCACAAGCAGATTCGTCTAAAGAACCTGATGACGTCATTCGAGGGAATTCACGCATTCAAGGAGCAGTACGACGAGACTACTCGATCCAGCGAGCTGGCTTCGCGGTTGGAGAAGTTGGAGCCACTGTGGGATCAGATCAATGAGCTTATGACGGAGGCGGAGCTGGCGGATAGTGAGGAGGAATCTATTGGGGAGAGGTATTTTAAGATTCGAATGGACTTTCAGAATAAATTCTTTGTCATAAAGGGATTTCTACAGTCTAAGCTTCGGGACCATCCCGATCAAAGCGCAGCCCTGCATAATACTATGGTAAATGAGTCCGCCGCTAACCCCCCTTCGCACCCCCACGTTAAGTTGCCGTTAATTAGTTTGCCGAAGTTTTCTGGTATTGTTGAAGAATGGTTGTCCTTTCGAGATCTTTATCTGTCGTTGATCTACTGTTCTGCTGAATTACCGGAGATTGAAAAGTTCCATTACCTACGGAGTCAATTGGAAGGAGAAGCTTTAGCTGTAATTTCGTCACTTTCACTCACTCAAGCTCAAAACTTGTTCAATCTTTCGTCAGTGAAAAGAGAGTCATACGCCGAATTACATAAATTGATGGAAGGATTCGAAAAGGCAACCAAGGTTCTGGATCAGATGGTGGAATCAGCGGAATTTAAGGATCTTCTCCTGATTCATTTGCTGAGTTCGCGGCTGGACGATAAAACACGACGCAGTTGGGAGGAACATTCTTCCACTCTTGAGGAGGAAACATTCAGCGATATTTTGAAGTTTTTGAACAGGCGCATTCAAGTTCTGGAGGCACTTCCGAGTAAATTGGTAGAGATTAATCCACCCATCAACAAAAAGGTTTTCCCATCCAAAGTTGTTAATCATGGTTCACTTCCCGGCAATTCTTGTCCAAATAGGTGTGTGTCTTGTTCTGAAAACCACCCACTTTTCACATGTCCTGCTTTCGGAAGGCTTCATGTTGAAGACAGGGAGAAATTACTTCGTCAAAATAACTTGTGCAGAAATTGCTTCAGGAAAGGGCATCAAGCTCGGGACTGTTCTTCCAAATTTTCGTGCCGTCGTTGTCAGGAGCGCCATCATACACTGGTCTGCTACAAACCGGAAGAAAAGTTTCAATTAACGTCGCAGCCAAGCGTACGAACAGAGGAGTCTACTTGAAGGAGAAGGTTCGGATTCTGAAACATCAACGGCTGTTGCGGTATCTGAAAGGCCTACAGTTAGCAGCAACATTGGGAGATCGGCGCGCAGAGTTCTTCTGGCGACAGCAGTGGTTTTGTTAGAAGATGATTGTGGAAATAAGGTCCCCGCAAGAGCTTTATTGGATTCTGGTTCCGAGTGCAACATTATGTCTACACGCCTCTCCCAGAAATTGCGTGTTTCGAGGAAACGAGCAGATGTAAACATTTCCGGTGTCGGTCAGGCTCCCACTCAATCGAAGGAGAAGGTTCAAGCTACAGTTCAGTCTAGGCTGACAAAATACTCGCAATTTATGGAATTTTACGTGCTACCAAAGGTTACTGAAGATCTACCAACGTCCACGATTTACGTCGAAGACTGGGAAATTCCAGAAGGCGTCGAATTAGCTGATCCAGAGTACTTCAAGACAAACACAATCGATTTACTACTTGGAGGCGAATATTTTTTCGATTTCTTCCCATGCAAACAACGAATTTCTTTGGGTGACGGCCAACCTTCGTTGGTCGAATCCGTTTTTGGGTGGTTGGTAACAGGACGATGCGGATGGAATCGAGGAGGAGCTCCAGTAGTATGCCAACACTCGACGGTATCAGATTCCCTTGAACGTCTAATGAGGACATTTTGGGAGTGTGAGGAAGGATTTACAACAACCAACTATTCGATGGAGGAAACCAAGTGTGAGGAACATTATCAGAAAACGGTAAAGCGGATGGAAGATGGTCGTTATTCGGTGGGTTTGCCTAAATCCAACGAAGTACTTGCACGCCTAGGAGAATCAAAGGAAATAGCACACCGCCGATTGATGCTGCTGGATCGAAGATTAGCTCTTCGTAAGGAATACCATGCATTTATGGCCGATTACTTGGACCGAGGACACATGCGGAAGATTGACGAGCACTCAACAGAGGTACCCGTTTCCTATTATATTCCACATCATCCAGTCATTAAGGACTCTAGCACCACCACTCGTGTTCGGGTGGTATTTGATGCATCTTCCAAATCATCCACGGGAATTTCCTTAAATGACGTTCTGTTGAATGGGCCAGTTATCCAGGACGAATTACGTACCATCATCATGCGAGGTCGTTTCTACCGAATCATGCTTGTTGCGGATGTCGAAAAAATGTTTCGGCAAATATGGACTGACCATATCGATGTTCCTCTGCAAAATATTCTGTTTCGCTTTTCCGTCGAAGATCCCGTTCAGATGTATGAGTTGTTGACCGTTACTTACGGCACCAAACCTGCACCGTTCTTAGCTACACGAACCTTAAAGCAGCTGTCCATGGATGAAATCAACACCTTTCCACTAGCAGCCAGAAGAATGTCCAAGGACGTCTATATGGACGATGTCATCACTGGTGCAAACGACGTAGCTGAAGCAAGGAAAATTCGGATGGAGCTAGATGAAATGCTGCTGAAAAGTGGATTCCGGTTGCCCAAATGGGTTTCAAACAGCGAGGAAGCTTTGGAAGGGGTGGATGAATCCAATTTGGCCATTCCACGGGAGAAAGGCATCGATTTCGACCAAGAACAAACGGTAAAAACTTTGGGCTTGATATGGGAGCCAAAAACGGATACCTTTCGGTTTAAAATCCAATTCTCGTCTCTTGAGAAACCAGAAATGACCAAGCGGAAGGTCCTCTCTAACATTGCAAGGTTGTTTGATCCTTTAGGAATGATTGGTCCGGTGGTTACAAGCGCAAAAATCATCATGCAGCAGATTTGGCAGCTGAAAGACAACAATGGAAACCCTGTTGGCTGGGACGACGTTCTTCCTGAATCGCTTCTCGAAACTTGGTTGAAATTCTACTCACAATTACCTAAGTTGGATGAACTCCGCATTCCGCGTTACGTGATTCTGGATAACACAATCAAACTTCAGCTCCATTACTTTTGCGATGCTTCGGATAAGGCCTACGGAGTCTGCGCTTATGCCCGATCGCTGGACGCTTGTGGACAAATCACCGTCTGCTTAATTTCGTCCAAATCAAGAGTTGCACCGCTAAAACGTCAATCAGCTGCTCGATTGGAACTTTGTGGAGCTCGATTAGCTGTAGAACTGCATGAGAAGGTAATGGAATCTGTAGAACTCCGGTACGAAACCTTTTTCTGGACTGATTCGAGGACTGTATTGCAATGGCTAGCACAGTCGCCGAACACCTGGACGGCTTTCGTTGCAAATCGTGTATCCTTCATCCAAAATCATACCCAGAACTCTCATTGGAATCATGTTCCAGGCGTCCAAAACCCATCCGACCAATTGTCACGTGGATTGGACCCAGAACAAATTCAAAGTCCGCTCGAAGATCAGGTTGCGCAATACGTTCAAAACCTAGATGCCTCCCCTTGTGGCGTGCCTCCGGCTGATATGATTACAGTACAACAGATTTACTCAGTGCTAAAATGCACCAAGAACATGGCTTGACGGCATATTCACCTTAATCTTGAAGAGACTCAGCTTTGCAGTCTGTTTTGACCGCTATCTTCAACAGATGCTTGCCCTAATAAACAAATACCTTAAACGAACTGCATCCCGGATGGGTAAACTGTCCCACACATGGTTTGGATGATACCCCAAACACGTCGTTAAGCTCTCTTTATGGTTATTTTTATTAGGGTGGAGCTGCACTTCTTTCTAAGCATCTGGAAAGTAGCTAAAATCATACCAATCCGCAAACCCGGTAAAGATTCAACAGTGTCTTCAAGCTACCGACCAATCAGCCTCCTTTCAGCGATGAGCAAATTGCTTGAGAAACACATTTTCAATCGTTTGCTCAAGTTTGTCGAAGAAAACAACATTCTCCTTCGGGAACAGTTTGGGTTCCGAAAGGGCCACTCCACCAATCATCAGCTAGTACGGGTGATGAATAACATCCGAAGTAACAAAGTTGTATCCAAGTCCAAGTCCATTGTCTGGTATGACGGACTTGTGTACTAGCTTTATAACATCAAATGCCCATTACATCACGCGTATACTACCTCCTGCAAAGGTCGTTTAAGGTATCGTTGAATGGTTGTCTTTCAGATACGTTTTCCATCCCAGCAGGTGTTACTCTAGTCTGTTGGGCCCGTTGCTTTACAGCATCCACACTTCCGACATTCCTCCCTTCCAAGACGGTTGCGTGTTCTTCCTATTCGCAGATGATACCGCAATAGCCGTCAAATAAAGGATGCCTCGCGAAATAACGAACAAACTTCAACTTAACGCCTTTGCTGATTATGCCAACACACTACAAACAATTATGTTCCTCCATCGGCAATCGCCCAAACTAAAACCGGCTCCATCTGGAACCATCATGGTTGTCACAAGGGTTGAGTGGTCTGCTGAAGTAACCTATCTCGGGATGTTGTTCGATGAAAAGCTCCTTTTCCGTTCGCATATAGCGACAATCGTAGTCAAGTGTTCCGCCTTGGTTAGGTGTCTGTATCCGCTGGTCACCTCTCAAGGGTGAACACACTGGATGTCTACAAACAAATGATAGTCCCTGCGATCCTCTAGGCAGCTCCGTTGTGGGAATCATGTGCACATAGAAGCGATGTAGAGCGAGCTTGTTCGTACGGTGGTGCAACAATGAGAATCGATGTTTTAAAGGAAACCTACACTTAGCTTTCGGAGATCTCTTGAATAACATACACTATGAGTCCCTATGCCCAGAGAAATTGAGAAATTCTATGTTAGGTGTGGAATAAAAAAAAATGCTCTCTGTATCATTTAAAGTTTTCAAGCATTTCAATACAAAAAAGTACTTTTTAATCATACGAAATCAAATCTACAGCGATGAGAAAACATCCACTTGATGAAGCAAAGCACCATCTATTCCATTTTGCGCTTCACTCTATCCACAAGCATCAGGGTATAGAATAAATTGTATGCAAATAGATTGTCGCTGTTTTTCATTCGCTCTGAGTTCTCTCCAGACATTTCCGGCTGAGTCGTTTGACATTACACTTCTGATCTGATTCGTCCACAAGCAGCATCAGCAGCGAGAAGGAATCACCATAGGAAAGGGGGGTTAAATTGACAGTCTCTTTTAAGTTTACTCCACTGCTCCGAGGCAGTGACTGTGCTCGCGGGTTGTAATCGTAGCTTGAAAAAAAAATAAGAAGAAGATGAATGTAAAGCGCTGGGAAATATTTCCCCTGGTTTCACTCTGTTAACGCTCGGATTATCTAGCGTAAGCACTTGAGAGCATAGCACCATGATGGCTGGATGCAACAGCAGTGTCTCGCTCCGGTTGGTTTGCTGATGTTGTCTCAGTGGCACGGTCCGCGGTACTGTGGAATGATAGCAACTCCTTATTTTATATTTCTTCTTCTTCTTCTACGGTAAATAAGATTTGTGTTGGATTACACAGGGAAAAAGCATGTTTGCGAATGATCGATTTAATTTATTGTAAACTGAAGTCAAGCGGGTTTGTTTTCCGTGTCCGTTTTCCAAGGATAGTTTGTTAGCTTGAGTCCAAGCAGAACTGCAAGCTGCGTAGATTAATAGTATGAAACACGGAAGATCAAATAATCAAGAGCGTGCATAATTCAGGATAGAAGCAATCAGGAATGAATCGCTTTTTTGGGACTTTTTCATTACTTTTCAATATAAAATGCTTACGTTAAAATTTAATTTTCAGCTCACCCATACTGAAATAGATAGTTTAGTGCTATTATTTTCCTCCGATAGTGTTCGCGTCTCTCTTTCGCGGTGTTAAGCGAAACATCGTTCGATCGTGGTGATGCGGTCGCAAGCTCGTCCGGGAAGCGTCCCCGACAGGAATCCGCCAACGCTCAGTCGGCATCGAAAAAGCTGCTGTCAAACAACCGGTACGCCATTCTCGAAAATTGTGATGAACCGGAAATAAAGAAAAAGGAGAAGCTACCACCCTTCTTCGGGCTTCGGGAGAACATCGAATACTACATCGAGCAAGGCTTGAAGAGCACCATGCACATGTGCACTGAAGGCATCATGCTGATGGTACCGTAAAAAATGGGAATATTTCTCTCACGATGTCGAGGAGGACAAGCCGCTTAAGCTGGGTTTAGACTAGGCAATTCGAATGATCAACTCAGTTGAATTCAATTGGCTTGAAAAGTTGAGCCTGGTTCAAACTTTTTTCAATTCAAGTGAGTTGATCCAGTAAGTTGAATGGCATAGTTTACACTTTCAATTCGCGTTCATGTCAGTTGAATTCAACTGACTTGATCAATTGCCTTGCCCTGTCTAAACCCAGCTTTAAGGTGGTCCTGCGTGGTCTGCCGGACATGGAAATCACCGCGCTGTCGGATGCGCTGAAGAAGAACAGCCTAAAGCCGTCGCAAGTCTTTAAGATGAATCGGCACGGCGCCTCCCGTAAGTACCGTGACCAGTTGTATTTGGTCCACCTCGAGTGAAACACAACGTGTTTGAAGGGCCTGCAGTGTATTCGGGCGCTTTTTCACATCGTGGTAAAGTGGGAACGCTACCAACCTCGCCCCCGTAACGTCACCCAATGCTCAAACGGTCTCATGTTTGGGCACGGGACCAAAAATTGCCACATGGCTCATCGTTGCAACGAATGTGGCTAGCAACACGCACCTGAAGCATGTGACAGGATGGAGAACGTCGATCCACAATGCGCCAACTGTGGTGCAGCACATCGAGCTACCAGCAAGTCTTGTCCGAAGCGAGCGGAATTCATGAAAATCCGCAAAAGGGTTTCCACGCAGAACCAGCCGGATCCCCGCCATTAGCCAACGGCGTCCGATTCCGGCTCTTCCGTCACTTCCACTCACAACAGAGGAACTCATAACCATCATGGCAGAAGCAATCGTCATCAAGCGCTCCTGCAGAACCAGAACCGAGCAGATTCTAGCTGCATCACGTTTCATCGACAATTATGGACCATGAAGCCATCAAGATCGGCAACTGTAACGCTTGCTCGCTCAAGATCAAGAACATCGACATTGCCGTCATCACTGAAACCCACCTGAAACCTGAGGTAAACGTCTACCTTCCTGACTTCCGGCTTCTAAGACTTGATCGAACCAGTTCCGGAGGAGGAGGAGTGGCCATTGCTGAAAGGTGAAACATCTGCTGTCGGCTTCTGCCGAGCTTCTAGCTGAAAACCATCGAAGCTTTAGGGGTAGAAGTCTCCACTCCTGTCGGTCCTATCACCATCATTGCGACCTACTGCCCTAAGAAAGTCACCATCAGGGACGGGTTGGCAGCAGACCTACGGAGGGACATCATCAAACTAACTCGACGGTGCGAAAAGTAGGCCAAACACCAGGCTTGGGGCAACAGTCGACGCAACCAAAACGGCACAATCCTGAACAACGACTTGCAAGAGGCTTGCTACACCATATTAGCGCCGGACTCTCCCACCCGGTTGAGCCGGTCTGGCGTACACTCCACCATCGACATGTTCATCAGCAACATGGGAGACAACATATCGCTACCTGTGACCCACCAGGAGCTGAGTTCGGACCACTATCCGGTGGTGGCCGAAGTAGGCTCATCCGTCAACCGATTCCAAGCTTCCCGACGCAACTACCATCGTGTCCGCTGGGAGCAGTTCCAACCCTGTGTCGACTCCACTGTCGACTCCACTGTCGACTCCACTGTCGACTCCACTGTCGACTCCACTGTCGACTACGGTGTCCTTCCCAGCCAGAATGGTGGACCATAGAAATCACGATTTTACTAACAAGATCCGGTCTCTCCCAGGTTGTGCAAAGCCCTTCTGGAAGCTAACGCAAATCCTTAAAAAATAAGCCAAGACCCATTCCACCCCTGACCCCATTGGACCGTCCCGGCGACCCAGTGGTTCATCTGATAACTCCTGAAAAGAAGGCTGCCGCGATAGGTCAACACTTCGTCAGCTCCCATAATCTCGGATAAAACATCGTCAGCCGTCACGAAGTTGAGGTTGCTGTAAATGCTACCAATCTTCATCAGATTCCCAACATTTTTCTCGAGGACTGTTGGCCTACATCAAATCATCTAAAAACATGAAGGCCCCATGTTTCGACAAAATCCTGAACACTTGAGTTCCAGGTTCTACAACCATCTGGCACTGATTTTTAATCTGCGGCTCAGACTTGGCTACTTCCCCTCGTGTTGGAAGTTAGCTAAAGTCATTCCCATCCGGAAACCTGGGAAGGATCCATCCTCTCCTTCAAGTTATCGACCAATCAACCTTCTCTCAGGGCTATCAAAACTGTTCGAAAGAGCAGTCCACCACCGGCTCCTAACATCTACCGAAGAAAACAACATCTTACTCGAGGCACAGTTTGGTTTTTGGAAAGGTCGTTCGACCGTCCACCAGCTGACTCGAGTAACAAACATTCTCAGACGGAACACGTCTGTTTAGAAAACATCTGCCATGGCTTTGTTGGACGTTAAAAAAGCGTTCGACAATGTCTGGAATGCTGGCCTGGTGTTCAAATTGCAGCAGCACGGTCTCCCAATCTTCCTAGTGAAGATAATTAACAATTATCTATCGGAGAGGACGTTCCGAGTCTCTCTGAATAGCATCAAATTGGATGCTTTCAACATCGGTGCTGGGGTTCCACAAGGAAGCATCCTTTGTCCCATGCTGTTCAACCTGTTCACCTCCGATATGCCAGCTCTCCCTGATGGTGGATCGTTGTCTTTGTTCGCAGATAACAAATACATCGTTTACAAGGGTCGGGTCATCGGAGCTCTGACCGCCAAACTTCAGAGAGGCCTGGACGTCCTGTCTGAATATTTCAACAGCTGGAAGATCCGTATCAACGCGGCAACGACCCAAGTCATCATCTTTCCACACTCTAAATGTTGCAGTTTGATAGGGAGATTGACAGCATTATTTTTTTTTTAGTTTACGTTGCACACTTAGAAATAATCATGTAAATTTAGGTGCTCTGAGAGTAACCTATACGAGTGTCAATTTGGACATTAATTTGAGCCATAACAGACGCGAAACATAGCTCAATCAAACGTTTTTGTCGTCGAACAACGAACTTTTCAGTCTCGAAGCACTTAATATAATTGATTACGTCTCATATTTTATGTCAAAGATGGATTCCGTCACGTGTAAAATTAGCTATTTCTAAGTGTGTGGGTTAACTTAGAATGCCACCAGATTGTACGTTAGCATTCCATAATACAGTAATGCCAAAGCCCCAAAAGAGTGATCCACCCTCGAGCAGTCAATTATGGAAATCTACCCTGCATATACGAAATTAGAGCGTGTCGAAATCAGTTGAACTTGATGTGAAAACAGATTGTGCACTGTCAGACAACACTCCATAAAACTGAAGAACTCCATAGTAAAACGCTGTAAATCCATGTCACATGTCACGACGCATCATGAAAAAGGATCCCTATTTATTTATTTTTTTTAGAGGTAGACCTTCACCAAGTAAAACAAAAAAAAAAACAATACCCTCCTGAATCCAGCTTCGGCACAACCCAGCCAACCGTCAACTGAATCAAGGAACCGCAACCATTATTATCTTGGTTAATTATCGCCGTACAGTCCATTCGTGGTGGGTATTTTTTCCAGATCTGGGTTCACGTCCTTAGGCGACCACTTTCCACTACCACGACTTTTCCTCAGTTCCACCGAAGGAAGGGTCTTAAGCCGGATTACTGACGGTTTCCTTCTGGTTTTCGGGGCAAAGTGCTTCTGCTTCCAAGGGTCTCGCCTTGCTGTCGTCATGACTAGATCGTGACGGGGGTCCACCGGAGAGTGGCGAAATGAATTATTATTCGGCGTCTTTCCGAAAGGAGCACAACTGAGTGGCAATAATCCTTCTTATGGCAATTCGGTGATGAATGCTCTTAGCTCCGCGTCTAGTTCTACTGATTTCACACGCCACTCTCGTGCGATGGTTGACACCGCCATGAGTGCGATGACAACACGCACTATTTCCCCAACTCGGGGGGTGGGGATCCAGAATTCACCTTTCATCCCTTGGTCCAGAAGTAGCAGCATGCGACTGCTGCCATGTGAGACGTAATCCCCGCGCCGAGTTGAATGGTAATAATTCATGATTTTGTAGCTTTTCGTTTCGGATCATGGAACGCAGGGTGGTGCTCTATTTGCTAGGAAGCGCTATGTTGTTACAGAACTTTCCCTATGTCATCGGTTGTCGTCGTCGTGTTTGGAGGCTTCCTTTTGCAGCGAACCATAATAGGTGGGAAGTTTCTCTTTTTTGTGAGTGTAGCTGGGACGGTTGGATGATGTGCTGCAGAGCCTTGATTTAAAGGCCTTGGTAGAAGGTGCCGTCCTATAGCAGTTGGTGCAAATATATGAGCGTATGGCTTCGGGCTGTGTGGTGTCTGTCGTGTTCTGCATATAGAACTACCAAACTAGTTTGTTTGTACACTTTGAAGAGTGCTGTTCTGGTTTCCACTGCAGGCTGGATGGGTGTATCATTTCCATGGTTCGGTTGTTGGTGGTTTCTGAACATGAGCTATATTCGGTCTGCATAGTCACGCCTTTGTGATGATGGACATGTTTAATCTTACGGGAGGATCAAACTGGTAGACTGTTGAAGTTCATCAGCGAAATCGATGTGAGTTGTTGGGTGATAGGGTGGATTTATTTGTATAGGGTTCTGGAACATCGAACATAACATGAGAAAAACTAAACTAAACAAAAGAAAACGTTCTGCAGCAGTCATGGCGGATTTCATAACCGTCACTAGTTGCTTGTGCGGACGTTATTCTCATCGTTGCGTAGCTTATGTAACGTAGTAATTCGTTGATTTAGTACTGTCATACCTCAACGTTCATATTCTTATTGCTTAAGGAAAACTATTTGGGAGTGAATACCTCTCCAAACAAAGTTCGGAACAGGAAAAGCATGACAGTTACCATTGCCTTCTTCTATACGAGGAAAGGAACCTGACACACCGACGACCTCCAGTAGATGCTCCAGAGTTGGATAGTAGAGCACATGCGATGGCGATGCGACCATTGTAATGATTTTATTTAGGAGGAGCTTGGGAGTAGACCCACAATCTTCTACTCAGTAAGCAAAACTGGCAGCCATTGATCTACACGTATTTTAAAATTAATTGGTATAGAGATGAAACGATACAATTTTAATACTCTATAGCTTAAAGATAATTCTGAACAACGAACAAAAACTGTGAAAACTGGTCATGTGGATTCACTGCCAAGCATTCCGTGTGTGGTTCATGATAAGACAAAGGTACCAGTTTATGCACAAACTCTCGCATAACACGAGTTGATATCTTCGATCAGTTACAAAGATATCAAGCCGAGCAATTGATTAGGTCCCAAGCCACATTGACAGATGGTCGATTCTATCTTGGTATCTGAACAGACATTTTCAGCTTTTATCAACACACAGTTCGATAAAAGAAGCTATTCACCTATATTCCTGTCCTCACGCGAA